AAATTGTCTCTTGACCTTGAACTTTCAACTTGACCAGGCGAATTTGACCTTTCACCAGGACCAAGCTTCTCGACTTTCATGAATTATACATCACGCGAGCCATAAACATATTTTCTTCTAGTGCTGTTAACGCTGATTGGACTTTTATATATTGACACATTGTCGTCATTGATATGAGGTAGTACAAATGTATACCAACATTTCATGGTCCACTGTCATGTCGTTGTTTATTGACATGTGTTATATTGATATGTTTTCGTATGTCGAGATATCGTAGATATTGACATATCTCAGTATATTGACATGTCTCAGTATTGACATGTCTCGGTATATTGACATGTCTCGGTATATTGACATATCTCGGTATATTGACATGTCTCGGTATATTGACATGTCTCAGTGTTGACATGTCTCGGTATATTAACATGTCTCAGTATTTACATGTCTCGGTATTGACATGTCTCGGTATATTGACATGTCTCAGTATTGATATGTCTCAGTATATTGACATGTCTCGGTATATTGACATGTCTCAGTATATTGACATGTCTCAGTATATTGACATATCTCGGTATATTGACATGTCTCAGTATATTGACATATCTCGGTATATTGACATGTCTCGGTATATTGACATGTCTCAGTGTTGACATGTCTCGGTATATCAACATGTCTCAGTGTTGACATGTCTCGGTATATCAACATGTCTCAGTATATTGATATGTCTTAGTATTAACATGTCTCGGTATATTGACATATCTCGGTATATTGACATGTCTCGGTATATTGACATGTCTCAGTATATTGATCTCGGTATATTGATATGTCTTAGTATTAACATGTCTCGGTATATTGACATATCTCGGTATATTGACATGTCTCAGTATATTGACATGTCTCAGTATATTGACATGTCTCAGTATATTGACATGTCTCGGTATATTGACATATCTCGGTATATTGACATGTCTCGGTATATTGACATGTCTCAGTATATTGACATGTCTCAGTATATTGACATGTCTCAGTATATTGACATGTCTCAGTATATTGACATGTCTCGGTATTGACATGTCTCAGTATATTGACATGTCTTCGTACATTAGTATGTCTCGGTATATTGACATGTCTCGGTATATTGACATGTTACAGTATTGATATGTCTTAGTATTGACATATCTCGGTATATTGACATGTCTCGGTATATTGACATGTCTCTGTATATTGACATGTCTCAGTATTGATATGACTCGGTATATTGACATGTCTCGGTATATTCACATGTCTCAGTATATTGACATGTCTCAGTATTGATATGACTCGGTATATTGACATGTCTCGGTATATTCACATGTCTCAGTATTGATATGTCTCAGTATATTTACATCTTGACATATAATAAAGCTTCTTTCCTTCCATTATTTGCAAATACTTCACTCTAAATTCCAAGCAATGAGGGTAAGGAACCATCTTTGGTATTTAAACTTTACTAGTTAAAACATCGACAAAAAGCATCTGTCCCTGTTGAGTGTAGAATGGTATATAATATGAAACGCCGTGTTATTGTTTATTTGTCCTGAGTTGTGGACACATTATTGTTACGCAGCGACGACAGCGACAACGACTAGCCAAGGACGTTCATATGTTTATCTCTGATCTTGGTGATCATGCTTACTTGTCATGACAGTTAACATGCTCAATTCAACCATGCATGACGACCTAAACCTGAAAGGTCAATCTGTTGATAGTTCGGATCTGTGTCATGTATTCTGTAAATATTGTACATTGTCTGGCTGTGAATGTGTACCATACGGTTCCGCAGTTGGAATCACGCAACACGGTGGAAGTTCTTACCCCGTCACAGTCGGGAACGTACAATCGATGTGAAAAGAGTGTTGTCGCTGCTGTTTACCGGTATACTCTACACTAATATTTAATTGACTAATTCTCCTTACTTTAATTTGATAAAAAATAAAAATAAAGTCAGCTTATAAAAACGTTTTCCAGGCTGAATAAAGCTATTTCTACAAGTACTTTATAAAATAATAGCATGAAAGATTTATATAAATGTAATGATATCAATGTTTGAATATCAAAATTCTATCAATGAAATATGAATTAGACGAAAGATATATTAAATATATTAGGAAAAAAGTCATAATTCACTTTTGAGTAATAGTCATTATAATTCCATATTTTATAAACGTTAGCAGATATAGTGGAATAGGTGTTACCAATAATTTACATGTTGATTTTAGACAACTTTAGATCTGAGGGAATTATGTTTTATAAACGGAATTAATTTATGAAAACAAAATGAAATAAATAAAACAAAGTGACAACTTCGGAGGTTTCACATTTGAATTGAATAAAAACAATGGACTCGGCGATAATTAAACCAACCCGTAGCTTTTAAAATTGTCTGTAACGAAAGAATAGTGATGTTCCTGAAAAGTAATATCCCAAATTACTTGTTAAGGAACGTCTACGGATGTTCGTTCGTTCATAAACGACGGTAATGCCACACGCGGCGTCTTTTCCAAAAGTTGCCGTCATCTAACAATGGAACTTTCAAACGCACTGTTTTAGCAATATTTACTGGACTTGTTGTCATCGCTTTTTACTGGACTTGTTGTCATCGCTTTTTACTGGGCTTGTTATCATCGCTTTTAACTGGACTTGTTATTATCGCTTTTTACTGGACTTGTCATCGCTTTTTACTGGACTTGTTGCCATCGCTTTTTACTGGGCTTGTTGTCATCGCTTTTTAAAGTTGTGTTTAATTTTGCTTTTAAAACGCTAGAAAAAAGGTGGATTGACTTTGGAACATTGTGATCTAGGTCAAGATCGAGTAACGTGCTGGTTGCAACAAAATAAATATAAATAAACAGTGTGAGGGCGCGTGTGTGTGAAATATTTATGTTTTGAAAAATCGTCGAAAAATAAAAAAACAAATGAATTTAAAAAAAGGTAAATAAATAAACAGATATGGTATCTATAAAAGAGATATCAGATTGAAATTTCCCAAATCAAAATCTTATCGCTATGACACGTTATGACACTAACTACAGTGCACCGATACAGTTTTATTTACATCGGGTAGGCTTTGAGTCCCGCCGGAGTTTAAAATAGCATGCCGACTGTCATTTTGTTTTGTTCATACACACACACACACACACACACACACATATAATAAACCTATTTATGGCCTACTATAAACACACCTAAATCTATATGTGTATACATGTGTCATCACTGGTATGTTTGTGTTGGTATTCAACCTAATCAGAAGAATTTATTGCACAGGTGCTCGAAATTACTCCGCGCATTCAAGCTACACAAATTTCATAGACATTTTTATTATAATGCAATATAAAAAAGCTACATAAATATACAGTTAAAATCACATTTGATGTCTGAATAAAAAAGTTTCGAATTTTTATTTTAAAATTGAACAGTAGACATTCCTATAGAAAAAGAAGTCCAAGATTCTCACCTGGGCGGAATGCGGAAGGATATAGACGCCTTGGGCATTTTACCTGTGCCAGTGAACCGCCATTACAGTTAGTTTTCAAAACCGAACACGGAAGCGTGTGGATTTCGAATGCAGTGTTCGCGAATACAAGTGCGATCATGGCAGCAGTATATTTATTAGGGATATTATGCTCTGTAGCAGGTCTTGGTAAGTTTAATAGTGTGCAAACTTAGCTGAAACATTCTAACAGGTGATGTCGTGCCGAGGTTGTGTCGCCAAGATTTCATAAATATGGTGACTGAATTCACGTTTTGCATGATTTTCAAATTGATAACGTTCCAATTCATGTTGTTTTCAGAGAACGTATTATCTGTAACGTAACATGTGATGCTGACTTTCACTATTTCGAATCGATTTCCCGTTTTAACCTAAAATTAAATAAATTTATGATGTCAATCGGGATACAGGTTTCATTCCAGTTCAATAAAGGGAGGTAACTATTTGTATAAACAGTGATACACAGACAACGCTTATGGTATGGAAAAGTCAAGCTGAAATATTGTCCGTTCATCTCGCTGTTATACGTCTATATTGAAACTTATCTATATCAATCAATTATTTGTGTTACTCTTTTTAACCGAAGGATTTTCCGGATCTCGCACGAGACGTTAGATATTCCGACAAACCAGGTGGCTTGTCCACATCCGATTTCCACCTGTCACATGTATATTAAACATATGTTATGGTGTAGGAGCCACAGGAAACATATATGATCATATCATAAACTAAACAAGTTTTAAATTCCATTTCATATGAGATTCTAGGAAAATTTCATTATGCAAGAATGTGACCAGCTAATTTGAATAAATTGATAAGGTCAGCTCCAGGTAGAAACGGTATTTAAGATAAAAAAATGTATCTGCAAATAATGATACAGTGCAGATCATGTTGCATTTGATGTCATTCTTGAAAACATATCTTTTTTTTATTTATTGTTTTTGTTGTAATATCATACTTTGTTATTAATGTGACAATGATCTTGTAATTATCTACACATATAACTACATATGATTCAATGACTGATTGTAAAATGTCATAGTCAATCATCGATACCATAATATTGTCTTGTGTTTAAGTAACAGTCAAATTTTTATTATCTCATAATAGAGATGTCAGTTGCCAACAATATTCATTCTAATGCGAATTCTAAGTAAGTGAGGTATTTTAGGTTAAATTTACAAAACAGAAACTGTTTATGAAGAATACATGAATTGTTTTTGAATATTGAATTTATCTGATAAGCTACAGCGGAAAGCCTATATGATTATAATTGATTAAAGATCTTCTACAATTTCCTATCACTACACTCTGTATAACATGAAGTAAAAATATAAAAAAATATATTTTCATTGTATTTTGTTTGAGATAAAGTTAATGGTGAAAAAATGCCATCAACTGAAAAACATGTATTTACACTTGTCTTTTTTTTTGTGTATGTTTTTTATAAATTTTCTTTTTTTTTCAGTTTCTGGACAGTCCATTACCATAACAGGGACAAGTACTTTGCTAACACCAGCATCAGAACTGAAAATTACTTGTCAACCAAGCACAGTTAGTATAACAGATGTCAATAGTATAAGCATTAAGAAAAATACCAGCACTACAGATTATACAGTACTAGTGTCTGTTTCCTATGATAAACCCTCAGGATCATCAGTATACTTGTGGGGTACAACAGGTCATCAGGGCAGACAAGGGGTGACAGTGACGGGAAATGTGGACACTCTAGCTGGTGCTCAGCTCGTATTAACTATTGCAGCCAACAGGACGACATGTACCGATGGTGGAGCCTATCAGTGTCAGATGGGAGTCACTCTGATAGGTGGTAGTGGTGGGACAGCTTCTGATGATAAATATGTCACTGCTAAAGGTATGTACTTGGTCATCTTCTGTAACAAAATTTTCTAAGTAAAAACAAAATTGAGGAACAACAAAGTCACTTCAAAGTTATATTTGGAGCCTGGAATTAAAGCTCGATAATATAGTTTTGAGCTAAAAAACCAACCTGTTTAAATGATGGAAATAATTTTAGTGTAATGTTAAGTCTGATAAAGACTTATTCATTATATTCTTTCAATTGTATTGGTCGTTGCTCGGTAAGAAATTGATGATAAAATTTAAACCAGTATCAGGATTTTGGACACAAAAAATTGTAAGAATATGTTGTAAAGTTGCATTGTCGGATGGTTCATTGTATTACAGAAAGTCCTACCTATACCAACTCTCTGTCTGTGACACCATTACCCAATGTGAACAGTGTTTACTATTCTGTTGGAACGGTGTTGACATTCTCCTGTACTGGAACGGTTGGCACAGATAAACAGAGACACACCTGGTGTTACAAGCGAGCCAGTGACAGCACATATACGGTAACCATTTTTTAATAGAAAGTGATATGTAAATGCTTTTTCACTATGCAAAAGTAAACTGGACTGTGAGTTATCTTGATATTTGTAAATATACAGTCACTACGCAAAAGTTAACTTGACTGTGAGTAATCTGGATATCTATTATCATAACTTGTCAAATAGTTTGGTCCTAAAAAATCCAATTTTAACTCTGTCTAATAGGAGCTCTGTTAATTCTGTAATCTGGCTGTATCTAAGTTCTATGCTTTCTATACACTAGTAAATCTAATCCAGGCAAAGCAGCGTCAGATACATTCTAGATTTATCAAATAATTGGATGAAGAAATGACGAAGGATGGATTTACATTGTTTAGCTATTGACATTGGAGATAAAACTTAAAATTTTGGAGTGTAAGTGTTATGTTGTTTTCTGGTTTCCAGGGTTACCCGATCGCATCACATATAGATCAGAATGATGATGGTTTGGTCAAGGAGAACTGTAATTACAGGCGTACCAGTACACTTACCTACAACGTCACTTCTGCCGATTCCAATACCACGTTTATGTGTGAACCGTACACTGGAACTGTGTGTGGCTCTAATCCACCACAGCTGAAGTCTTATTATTCCATCAGAAACTGTAAGAATAAAAAATAATGATTCATTTATGTTCCTAATTATTCTGTAATAAAATCTTTACTTGTCCAAAGTGAAATAACAAAAACCATGTTCCATTATGTACCAATTTTAGATATGATCTAAAGTGACAGTTTATGTAAAAGGAATTGACATGTTTTTTGTGCAGTATTTATCGTCAGTTTGTTAAACATTGTGTCATTTTCAGTGTATCATCGTTAAAAAACTTCAGTTATTTTTTTAAATTCAAAAGAAGTTTTAAAACAAATAGCTTCTATTTGTATTTGTTGGTCACAAAACTTGTTGTCTGAGGTCAAATGAATTTTCTTCTGTTATTGTTGAAAACAATTTTATTTTTCAGACGTAACGGGTGGCAGTACCGGTGGTCAGGATGATGGAGGCAGTATGTATACAATTTTAAATATCTTACTACTAACTTATAATCGGATAATGTTTCTATTTTCTTGTGTAACAGTTCAAATTTTAAATATAAATTTGTGGTGGAGGAGTGGAATTACAAGGTAACATTAGAATTACTATGAGTTACAATAATATTATAATGGCATTCTTACCGGCCCATTAAAACATAAAAGGTCGTTAGGACCATCAACCTGTAAAACACATCAGTCGCTATGAGTTACAAGAAATCTGTTTGAGATAAATGTAGACAAATTATAACCAAACGTCACGCGTAGTTAATATACTGAAAAACTATTGACATCAGAAGTAAATTAGATTATCAGTATATAGTGAATTGACTCACTTGTTTATTGTATTCATGAAAATCATCCAAAACTAATTACATTATTCATGTATCTTGTCATCACTTTGACAATTCGTGTAATTGTTTAGGAGAAATTCTTCATGACCTTGCGTCTAGGTAAAGCTTGCTTCAGTTATAGATTTCATCTGACAGAGATGTTTCAATATACCCATGTAAAAATTGGATTATAGTTTCAATTGCTACATGGCTTGTTTTCGTTCTTGCTCATTTTAGCTTTGATAGGAATATTTTTTTTCCAACTTTTTCCAAGCACTCCAGGTTATGTTTAGGACTATTCCAATAAAACACCTATCCCACGCCAGGACTCCAGGTTATGTTTAGGGCTATACAAGTAAAACATCTATCCCTCCCTAGGACTCCAGGTTTTGTTTAGGGGTATTCCAGTAAAACATCTATCCCACCCCAGGACTCCATGTTTTGTTTAGGGCTATTCCAGTAAAACATCTATCCCCCCCAGGACTCCATGTTTTGTTTAGGGCTATTCCAGTAAAACATCTATCCCACCCTAGGACTCCAGGTTTTGTTTAGGGCTATTCCAGTAAAACACCTATCCCACCCCAGGACTCCATGTTTTGTTTAGGGCTATTCCAGTAAAACATCTATCCCCCCAGGACTCCATGTTTTGTTTAGGGCTATTCCAGTAAAACATCTATCCCACCCTAGGACTCCAGGTTTTGTTTAGGGCTATTCCAGTAAAACATCTATCCCACCCCAGGACTCCAGGTTTTGTTTAGGGCTATTCCAGTAAAACACCTATCCCACCCCAGGACTCCATGTTTTGTTTAGGGCTATTCCAGTAAAACATCTATCCCCCCCAGGACTCCATGTTTTGTTTAGGGCTATTCCAGTAAAACATCTATCCCACCCTAGGACTCCAGGTTTTGTTTAGGGCTATTCCAGTAAAACACCTATCCCACCCCAGGACTGCAGGTTTTGTTTAGGGCTATTCCAGTAAAACATCTATCTCCCCAGGACTCCAGGTTATGTTTAGGGCTATTCCAGTAAACATCTATCTCACCCCAGGACTCCATGTTTTGTTTAGGGCTATTCCAGTAAACATCTATCTCACCCCAGGACTCCAGGTTTTGTTTTGGGCTATTCCAGTAAAACATCTATCTCCTCAGGACTCCAGGTTATGTGTAGGTCTATTCCAGTAAACATCTATCCCACCCCAGTACTTTAGGTTATGTGTAGGGCTATTCAAGTAAAACATTTATCCTTCCAGATGGCTCCATGATGTATTAAGAACAATTCCAGCTAATCATTTATCCCTCTCAATTAATTGATAATTTGCTTAGAAATAGTCAGGAAACTGAATCTGAAGGACCAGTGAGCTTATGTCATACTGCAAGTGTCTGTTATTCGTCCGCTGTGTGACTCTCAACATTTTCTACAAGTCGCTACTAGTTTTGATTGACAGAGCAGATTTTGATCAAATTTGGTCAAAAGTATCCTTGGAGGAAGGGGAACAAGTTTTGTATAAACCGTGGGTATCTGCCTCCTGGGGCAAGAGGAACAGGTCCCAATAAGGGAAATAGATGGAAATAGAGAAAATTCTTTAAAATCCTACTTCAGATCTAGAGGATTGACTGGATTTTGTCCAAATTTGGTGGAAATCATTGTAAAGTAAACAGAAATCAATTTTATATAAAGGATGTGTCTCATCACCTAGTAACAGGAAAGGCAGGACCTGTTCTAGGGGAAATAGAACAAATTCTGTAAAATTCTCATCTACTGTAGGAATGGGAGAATTCAGTCTCGCTTTGGTTAGAGGTATTTTTATTTTACAGATGGTTGGGGCACAATGGGAAAATATATATGTTATGTATTGTGTATTTGGATATCTACAGTTCCTTTTCCTTTAGTTTTGATGAAGAAATTTCAACCAAGCAAAGTGGTTTGAGTGATACAGGCCCTATGGATCTCTTGTTTAATGGAGTAGACCTTGTAGAAAAGTACAACATAACTATTGTTTTGTGAAAATGAAGATTTTATGAAATTAAAAATCAGAGAATTTAGTTGTTTCGCATTGAATATAATGAAGTTGTTACTTAAATATTCTATTACCTGTAGGTTTTGGCAAACTGTAGCCAGATGAAGTCTCTAAATTTGACACTGGAATGAGAAAATTTAATAAAGTCACACCTGAATGACCTGTGGTATTGAAAAATACCAGGGAACCTTTATGCTATTTGTGTCTTTACATTCACATCGACACTTAAGAACTTCCTTTGAGCAATTTATCTCGGGCATCATATCACCCAAGTGCTATTGGATAGCTAAGTGTTTTGTTATTTTAATCCTTTTTTGTCAAGATAAATGTAGTCACAGTGAGTCAATATATTCCCTGTATAAAAGACAATGCTTAATACTTCATTATCACAAATTTTACTGAAAAAAAGATGTTTAGTGAAATAGAAACAAGCTGTTTCATTGTATCTACATTTCACCCAGGTACCGGGGCGGGTAAGATTATCTGTTTTATTGTTGACAAGAACGTGTCACTTCTGACTCTGTGTTTAGTGCTTTCATCAGTTCAGTAGGATTCTTTGTTGTACAGAACTCTCCTAACACCCAAGTTAATGTATAGTGCTTTCATCTATTTATACTAACACACATTTTGTATACCAACAGTATTCCAATAAAATCGGAAGTTCTAAATTATCAATAATAGGGCTTTTCACACTCAAAAAATAACAAAAGCTGCAGTGCTTTGTAAAATTTGGACTGTTGTTGATAAACTTTCATGAAAATATGATTATAATGTGTTTGTGGGGCCAATCATGTCTGACAGACATTTTACGAGTTATCTCAAATAAAAAGGTGAAACTTATGTTTATTACAATATTTTGATGCAATTCTGATTTTCTGATTGATATTATGTTAAAACAAATATACTTATTAGAAATGTCACAAAAAAGTTGTCTTAAAGAATTCTGTCTGACTGTAGTGTTTCCTTAAGCACATGCACTATGTAAGTGGCCCTTTGATACAGTATATGTCTGTAGCTGGTAAGTGCATTGAAGACAATAATAATTACATAAGTTTCCTTGTAGAATTTTTTGTTGTGAAAGGACTAGACATTAAAGACCAAGATTTTGTTGTTTGTTTGTGTGTATTCCTTCCTGTGCTGTCATTCATCACATAAAACCATCAAATCACTGACCACTTGACCCTCGTACCGGATAGTAAGATAACCGGAACCACTTTACAAATTCTTCCCTAGGTAAACCATAAAACTTAAATCTTAATGTTCCTCATCATAACGACGATTTATACAGCTTTCAGGATCTGATTTTATCTAAGTGGAAACTGTTACTTCATTTTCTCAGGTTAATGTTTATTCTCAGCGTTTTGTTTAGATTGGTGTGTAGTTTTATTTTGATTTTTATCCTGATTTATATATTGAATTTGTATCACCTCTGGGTGTACCTCCAAAACAAAGTGGCGACAGAGATTGTCCATCCTTTCATGCCCACAGAGATTGTCCATCCTTTCATGCCCTCAGAGATTGTCCATCCTTTCATGCCCTCAGAGATTGTCCATCCTTTCATGCCCACAGAGATTGTCCATCCTTTCATGCCCTCAGAGATTGTCCATCCTTTCATGCCCACAGAGATTGTCCATCCTTTCATGCCCTCAGAGATTGTCCATCCTTTCATGCCCACAGAGATTGTCCATCCTTTCATGCCCACAGAGATTGTCCATCCTTTCATGCCCTCAGAGATTGTCCATCCTTTCATGCCCTCAGAGATTGTCCATCCTTTCATGCCCACAGAGATTGTCCATCCTTTCATGCCCACAGAGATTGTCCATCCTTTCATGCCCACAGAGATTGTCCATCCTTTCATGCCCTCAGAGATTGTCCATCCTTTCATGCCCACAGAGATTGTCCATCCTTTCATGCCCACAGAGATTGTCCATCCTTTCATGCCCTCAGAGATTGTCCATCCTTTCATGCCCACAGAGATTGTCCATCCTTTCATGCCCTCAGAGATTGTCCATCCTTTCATGCCCACAGAGATTGTCCATCCTTTCATACCCACAGAGATTGTCCATCCTTTCATGCCCTCAGAGATTGCCTATCCTTTCATGCCCACAGAGATTGTCCATCCTTTCATGCCCACAGAGATTGTCCATCCTTTCATGCCCACAGAGATTGTCCATCCTTTCATGCCCACAGAGATTGTCCATCCTTTCATGCCCACAGAGATTGTCCATCCTTTCATGCCAGAGATTGTCCATCCTTTCACAGAGATTGTCCATCCTTTCATGCCCTACAGAGATTGTCCATCCTTTACAACACATCTTTAAAATTTACCCCAGGCTGATTTCTCTGGATGTTTTGCGACAGGTCTTCCTTATGATGTTCACTAAGTAATTAAAAAACGTGTATACTTAAATTTAAGTGGCATTATCTCGTAAAAAGTAAGAAGATTCATCACCATTGTGACCATAGAACAGTCACTTGTAGAGACAATTTGAGGATGTGAGATGTGGTTTTTGTTTGTGACTACAGAAAACATTGTATTTTATATATTTTGTTTAGTTTGAAATCATGAATTGAGGAATAATGAAACTTAGAATTAAAAAGATAAAAAATTGAACAGTTGTGTCTGGAACTTGTCACCTCTTTATAGCCATTGTTTTATATATTGACTTTATCTTAAATTCTAAAATTGTTTCATTATATCCTCAGAACCTAGTTTGTTGGGGGTGTATACTGAATCAGGTTGTCTTTTTGTCCGTCTGTCTGTTTTACTAAACTGATTCCAACAATACCTTCTGTTCCCCAGTTAACACAGTACCTTCTGTTCCCCGGTTAACACAATACCTTCTGTTCCCCGGTTAACACAGTACCTTCTGTTCCCCGGTTAACACAATACCTTCTGTTCCCCGGTTAACACAGTACCTTCTTTTCCCCGGTTAACAGTTTTAACCTATTTTTTATTTGTGTATAAGATATGCAATATTAGTGTGGCTTTAATCAAATTGTAGATGTTGTCAACTGTCTGTAGCACTTCTAATATATTAACGATCGCTTTATCTGTTCATATACATATTGAAACCTCGGCCCATTTAAAGTAGATCATTGATCTCCTTACATGGGCTAGAGACTCGAACATCTTGTCTTCACCAAAGTTCGTGTGCTAGCACAAGGCAGGTTGACCTACACATCAAGACTATATTGTTTGTTACACTTAATGCGGGGTCCAAAATATTAACACCAATAATTCACTTGGTTGTATATTACCTGAACTGTCTGTTCGCTATTTATAAAAGTAGCTGTCTCTTTACTTTGAAAATAATATTATGAAAGAATTCTTACATCTTGAGCTTAATCAGTATTGGTAAATGCTAATTTGATATATTAATGTTTTGTTTATATCGCTTTAAGATTATGTCTGTTAAAAAGCCTACCCATATTTATTGCTAACAGATTCTATATCATTGTTGGTTAATAAGCCCACACCTGAATTTTAGTCCAGTTGTATGTCCTGATTGCTTACACCTATAAATGCTATATCATTGTCCGTTGATAAGTCCACCCCTGAATTTTAGTCCATTTGCATGTCCTAACCGCTTACACCTAAATATGCTATTTCATTGTCCGTTAATAAGCCTACCCATGAATTTTAGTCCATTTGCATGTCCTGACTGGTCATGCCTATAAGATTAAATACAGCATGTTATTTTATTTATTTATGGTTTAGTATAAACTATTGTGGCTTGATTTCTAGGTGTGAGTAATGCTGGAACGATCGCTGGAGTCGTCATTGGAGTATTTGCTGCGATTCTTCTCATCGTTCTCATTGTTTATTTTGTGGTGATCAGACGAAGGGGTGGCGGAGAGACATGTAAATATTAGAGTTTTCAAATCCTTTTTTCATAATTTTTTTTTTTTTTTTTTAATCTTAGGGATGTGAGTGATTTCTATAAAATTGAAAATAAGCATTCATATATTAATGATATCTGTGATAATTCTTAACTTTCTGACAGAAACAAACTAAAGTTTTAAATTATCTCAAAATGTGGTATTTCATACATGTATGGAATTCACTAATATAAAGGTAATTCTTGAAAAAGGAAGACAATCTAAATTTACCAGGAATAGCTGCTAGAATGGTCTTTACATTCAAAACATGAAACATGAATATTTTTAATTGATTTTACAGACAACACCAAAGAAGATGGATCACCAGAGTAAGTACCAGCTGTTCATGACAGAATAAATGCCACTGGTTCGAGATTCTGTCACTTTTTAACACATGAAGTACAAAAGTTGTCAGTAGTAGATATGTCAGTGAATGACATATAGGTCAGCATCAGTAGAATGTAGGTCAGTCTAAATGATCACTGTCAGTAGAATGTAGGTCAGTTTTAATGATATGTAGGTCATTGTCAGTAGAATGTAGGTCAGTCTTAATGATATGTAGGTCTCTGTCAGTAGAATGTAGGCTAGTGTAAATAATATGTAGGTCACTGTCAGTAGAATGTAGGTTAGTCTAAATGATATGTAGGTCACTGTCAGTAGAATGTAGGCTAGTGTAAATAATATGTAGGTCAGTGTCCGTATAATATAGGCTAGTGTAAATAATACGTAGGTCACTGTCAGTAGAATGTAGATCAGTGTAAATGATATATAGGACAGTGTCAATCATACATAGGTAAGTACCAGCACTATACAAACCAGAATCAGTGAGAAGTATTAAGCCCATCCATGACCATAGTTTCAGGAAGAAGTTAAGTATAGGCCCTTGGGCAAACTTCAATATATGTATGGTAATAGAATATGACTGACTTGTGGCGATTTTAGTTATTCCCTGAAGTGCCTCATGAACTGAACTTTCCCTCAAATGTCTTATGAACAAATAATATTGATTTCACAGAAATGCCTGGTGAACTAATATTAGTTTCCCTAAATTGCCTCAATAACTGAAATGGATTTCCCCAAGGTGCCACATGAACTAATAATATTGGTTTCCCCAAAGTTGCGCAATAACTAAAATGGATTTCCCAAAGTTTCCAAAATTTTGATGAGTCCAGTTACACAGAGATATATTATATACAAAGGAAAACCATGAGTCAGGACTCAAATATTTGTGTCCTAAAAATCACTGAATTCATTTCCCCGAAGTGACTCCTGAAGTAAAATTGATCACTTACTGAACGCATGTACCAGTAGTTAGAAACAGAAAGATACGAAGTCACATAGACTGTCATCACTCATTTTGTAGAAACAATTCTCTGTTTAAAAAAAACGTTTAGGGTTCTGAATGATTGAACAATGTTCCTACTGATCTTGCAGGAAACAGAATCTAATTACAGGTTGTACTCTGTCAGACATTTAGCATGTTGGTTATGTCGGAAATAAGTGAAGTAAAATGACCAACAAAAATCATCTTTCATTTGATTACTAATAACATCCACCATACAAGAAAGATATAGTTTCAAGTTTTTCTTTTAGTCCACAGGGATACAGTATATTGGTTAAATTTGACAGTGCTAATATTTTGTGGTATCCTGGGGTTAGAGATGTTCACAGACATTGAATTTGTGCATGTCTGTGAACTGGTGTCCATATATACAGACATCAAATATTTCCTTATTTGTAGAAATGGATATTTAATTTCAGGCTATATTTAATTTCTTGCCTGGGAATATAATGAAATATTACCAAATGTACAGTATAGGTTAACAAATTCCTTCTATTTTACTATACATATATAGATATTTCAACATTAAAACACAGATACTGTACACAGGTATCTCTTAGGACACACGAGTAAACTCAGTATTTTATTTTTTTATGTAGGAGTGCAGAAAATGGGTAAAGTATTTTACAATTATCTGACTTTACCCTTGTTTACAAAAATGATGATTAAAATCATATAGATTTCGGATAAGGACATTACTTGACGTAATTAAGGAGCATTAAGACTCTTAGCATGTGCTTTCTTTAACACCTATATATGCGACAGTTACTATTTGTTGTGATATATATATATTAGTTTACCATAGATATTCTGGATATTGTTTCTGCCAGTGTCTCTGACATAAATAATCTAGAATTGTTTATAAGTGAAACAATATATCTACCTCCTATATAATGTAATTGGATTAATCATATTCCAGACAGTAGTACAGTTATTGCTTTGTATGTTTGTGTCAGTCTATGTTTGCCCATGTAAAAACAATATGTTTATAATGATATCTTGTAAAACTATAGCAATTTCAGTTCAGATTTACACCTCAGAACTTTAGGTCCTTCCTTCACCTGATAGATTTAAGTGAACATCGCTCAATATTAAAGGTCAAAGGTCGCACCTGACCACTTCTGAACCTTTATTTTTCTGGTAATCATGATCAGAAGTTGGTAGAGGGTATATCGACTTGAGCCCCAACTCAGCTGTTATTGTAGACAGGAGTAAATACTTGACTCCTCTAGTCATAATGCCAGACTTGTCTACAATATGGATATATCAGTAATCAGTCAGTGATTTCCTTTTGCCATGGTTTACTGCAGCTGAAAAAAAGCCAATTTCCTCCCGTCAGAAAGCTTATTTTCCCAAAATGAACCAACATCCAAGAACATTTTCCCATGATTTCAGAAAAACCTATATTTTTCCAATTTGTGCAGAAACATGCTGCCGTAAAACCAAGGGAGATAAAAACACTGTTATGTCCTTGTCTTGTAACAATGATAGATGCATGTATGCCATTTGGACTTTGGAATATATGTACAAACGTCACAAGTGATTTGGTAGGAGGCAATTTGTTAGATATGTTTCAGGTGAAATAAAATTAATTTTAAGACAAGTTTAGTCCAAATATATTGATGCAAGGATCAGTTTTTGAAGATAAAATTTATCACTACCTGATAGACATGAATGATGCACCACCACAAATTTCCCGAGAATTCCACTTAATCATGCACATTTTATTCGCTAGTACAAAATATACTTCATTTTTACGAAAAAGGATTTCTGTGTCTGTATCTCTTTGTCATTATTTTCAGACTGTGTTTACATTGAAATAAATCAGACAAACAACCAGTTGTTGTGATATGGATTTAGATGCAATTTTTCATTGACCTAAACATTCAGTCTTTGATATTTCTTCAATTTGGTTTTCTGAGTTACCTCCCTTGAATTTCCTCCTCTTTGCTTCATCTGATAATTCAGTACTTACAAAACTAAAGATTTTTAGATTTGGTATTTGAGTTATAAATGTGAAAAGATATCTTTAAAGATTTGCTTGAATATATTCATAAGTAGTATAAAATATATCTTAACACCCAGTAGAATGTATAAGATATTAATAAACTGACATTTGTCTGGTTAGAAATTGATCAGCTGATCTTGGATTTATAGCTGTCTTTCAGCTGGTATGGTTTTATCTGACTAGGGTTCATTCCATCGTACATTCATCTGTCAATCATTTTATGTAACCTGTGACTGCAGTCTATAGCTCCAGTTCGCTACCAATTAATTTGAGATTTTGTAACTGAGATGAAGTTCCTGTTTGTGATGAAGTTCCTGTTTGTGATGAAGTTCCAGTCTTTGATGAAGTTCCAGTTTGTGTTGGAAGTTCCTGTTTGTGATGAAGTTCCTGTTTGTGTTGAAGTTCCAGTCTTTGATGAAGTTCCAGTCTTTGATGAAGTTCCTGTTTGTAATGAAGTTCCAGTCTTAGATGAAGTTTCTGTTTGTAATGAAGTTTCTGTTTGTGATGAAGTTCCTGTTTGTAATGAAGTTTCTGTTTGTAATGAAGTTTCTGTTTGTGATGAAGTTCCTGTTTGTGATGAAGTTTCTGTTTGTGATGAAGTTCCTGTTTGTGATGAAGTTCCTGTTTGTAATGAAGTTCCAGTCTTTGATGAAGTTCCAGTCTTTGATGAAGTTTCTGTTTGTGATGGAGTTCCAGTCTTAGATGAAGTTTCTGTTTGTAATGAAGTTTCTGTTTGTGATGAAGTTCCTGTTTGTAATGAAGTTTCTGTTTGTGATGAAGTTTCTGTTTGTGATGAAGTTCCTGTTTGTAATGAAGTTTCTGTTTGTGATGAAGTTCCTGTTTGTGATGAAGTTCCAGTCTTTGATGAAGTTTCTGTTTGTGATGAAGTTCCAGTCTTTGATGAAGTTTCTGTTTGTGATGAAGTTTCTGTTTGTGATGAAGTTCCTGTTTGTAATGAAGTTTCTGTTTGTGTTGAAGTTCCAGTTTGTGATGAAGTTCCTGTTTGTGATGAAGTTCCTGTTTGTGATGAAGTTCCAGTCTTTGATGAAGTTTCTGTTTGTGATGAAGTTCCAGTCTTTGATGAAGTTTCTGTTTGTGATGAAGTTTCTGTTTGTGATGAAGTTCCTGTTTGTAATGAAGTTTCTGTTTGTGTTGAAGTTCCAGTTTGTGATGAAGTTCCTGTTTGTGATGAAGTTCCAGTCTTTGATGAAGTTTCTGTTTGTGATGAAGTTCCAGTCTTTGATGAAGTTTCTGTTTGTGTTGAAGTTCCAGTTTGTGATGAAGGTCCAGTCTTTGATGAAGTTCCTGTTTGTGATGAAGTTCCAGTTTGTGATGAAGTTCCTGTTTGTGATGAAGTTCCAGTCTTTGATGAAGTTTCTGATATATTATGAATATAAGATTTGTTTATAGTGATGAGAACCTGGAGATATGTACACATTGTAAGATTGACTGCTGTGTGTTAACTTTACTGCATTTATGATGTGACTTGTTTTTAGATGAAAACATTAAGAAAAATACAACAGAAGTTGTTTTAAACAACTGGAAGAAAATCCTGGATCTATTTAAAAACTTTCCTGAGTAAACTGCATTTATCGGTGTCACTTCCTGTTACATGGATCGCTGTGTTTTTGTTTATTTTCTTATTGTTACCTGTAGCTTTCCATTCCAAATCAAAAACAAAAAAAACACCTTTGTACATTTATGTTAATTTTTTTATTTCTTTAATATTCCATTTAATAACAAATATATGATAACAATGGCAGGAAATGATTTTCCATACCAAAATGAATGTACTTAATTTTGATATAAACTTTGGCAACTTTTATATGTCTGAGTTTTGTTTACAGAGGACCAGCCCACACAGAAGGACCGGTCTACAGTGTACCTGACAAGAACAGGACACGAGGTGTAAGTGTTACCTTATTTATCTCTTGTCACATGTTAGCAAACCCATGGTTACCTCCCTTTATCAAAATTTCCTGCTTGTAGCCTCCAATTATCAAAGTTAAGTAGAGGTTGTTTCTGTTACCAAACTTACCTGTTACCCTGGTTACCATTCAATTATTCTCAATTTCCATACTTCACTATCGGTTGGGTCCTAATTACCTAGTAAGTAACCTTCTACTTACCTCCAGTTGTCATTATTACCTGTCGTTTGCCCCAGTTACTAAGTTATCTGTCAGTTTCCTTGTGTTACCATAGAAACTTGTCATTTTCTCTGTTACCATAGTTACCAATCAGTTACTTACTGTTATTTACCATTTTATCACTGAGGTTTATGTCAGTTATGATAATATGAAACACATCAGAATTCTACTGATTCAGTCTTAAAGATTGAGATCAGTTTTTATGAAACAAAGCATCACTACTTACATGGAATGCTAGCAACAATACCTGGTCTCTACTATGTACGTGGTTATTCTAGTCTGTCAAATTTCTCTCTTAAAAAATTGTTTATGGCATAAGCAAATTATCTTTTTATAGTTTTATATTGCTATCACCTTCAAAGATTTGTGTGAAAGAAAATTAAATGAATTAATTCTACACTAATCCACATTCGATTTCATGACATGTGTGATAAAATTTTAGTGGTCAAGTTTATGAATGAAAGAAATGCTTTAGTGAGTCCCTTACAATAAGAATTTGTGGAATGGTGAAGTTATAAAAGGTTGTGATGGTTCTATAATCTATTACAGACTTCTGATGCCTAATCAGGTACTGAGGTCAGAAACTTATCACTTGTCATTTCTTCACGACTCCGATAACACAATTCAGGCTTTTTACAGTGTTGAATACTGCATTCATACACTGATAAACTATGCACATGTTCATTGATTGAAGGCGGCTCATTCAAATGAACATTTCCTTACCCTAGTGATACAAAAGAGACAGATGTACTTTCCTATAAGTCTGTACTACATTGCAAATATACTCATGTCTTTGGAATGTCATTCTCTGCTGCTGAAATCTACAGCTTTTTAAATCATCTCCATCAGAGTTCTCTGTGGCATGTGTTTTCCCTTCTGATTTGTATATATATAATGCAAGTTTGCTATAAACCTATAGATTTTACAATATAGGGACTGTCAAGAAAGATACTTTTGTACTTTTTTCTGAAATTTATGTCATCAGGATATAAGGGACTTAGATTTTCATTTCATTGAAGTTAAAATGCACTATTACATATCTGTTAAAAGTTGTGTGCTGTGTTGAGATTACAATGTTTGAAGGCTAACTCTACAATTTTATTAAATATGTCAAAAAATTGAATAAAATAGGAGCAAGCCGACACTAAATTACATCATTATTGTTCAGAACGTGTAATCAATGAGTTTGTGTAGGAAAATTAAGACATCATAACGGTCAAAACACATCTCTGAAAGGTCATGCGATGAACTCAGCTGTGCCCAATTAAAACAGAGTGGCAGTTAAACAAACCAAGCATCAACCAGTGCTGCTTTAAAGCTGATCATTTTTACCAATTTTTTTCAAAAAGGGATATAGTTTTGTGAATATTCTAATTTTGTGTATTACAACGCTTCCCTGAAACCAAAAAGTCTAGAAAAAAGTCACAAATCTAAGCATTTATTCCATGTAAATTACATTGGTATTGAATGTCTAAGGTACACTTATCATATATTTGTGTCTGTCTATTGATTCAGTAATCGGGTGTGTGAAAAAATGTTGCCAAAATGAGGCAGAATCCTCTCTTTTTATAGAAAGTTTGTTGTATTTAATCAAACAGAATCAGCTATGAACTGCTGTGGTATTTTTTTTTTATTTGTGTTTTTTGAAATATAGTTTTTTGTGATATTGGCTGATTTTGTACAAATTTTTAATTCTTTTATGCCAACAATATACATGTATAACTGTATTTTCAGAAATGTCAACTGTTATTCAATATGTTTATTTAATCATATAAGTTACAAATCTGTTACATTTTGAAGGAGATATACTTAAGAAAGAATACTATGACTTTTGTTGATGAAATAAAACCCAGCCAAAATGATGTTTTTGAACCAATAAGCTTGATGTTTTTGAACCAATAAGCTTGATGTTTTTGAACCAATAAGCTTGATGTTTTTGAACCAATAAGCTTGATGTTTTTGAACCAATAAGCTTGATGTTTTTGAACCAATAAGCTTGATGGTTTAGAACCAATAAGCTTGATGTTTTTGAACCAATAAGCTTGATGTTTTTGAACCAATAAGCTTGATGTTTTTGAACCAATAAGCTTGATGTTTTAGAACCAATAAGCTGGATGTTTTTGAACCAATAAGCTTGATGTTTTAGAACCAATAAGCTTGATGTTTTAGAACCAATAAGCTTGATGTTTTTGAACCAATAAGCTTGATGTTTTAGAACCAATAAGCTTGATGTTTTTGAACCAATAAGCTTGATGTTTTAGAACCAATAAGCTTGATGTTTTTGAACCAATAAGCTTGATGTTTTTGAACCAATAAGCTTGATGTTTTAGAACCAATAAGCTTGATGTTTTTGAACCAATAAGCTTGATGTTTTAGAACCAATAAGCTGGATGTTTTTGAACCAATAAGCTTGATGTTTTTGAACCAATAAGCTTGATGTTTTTGAACCAATAAGCTTGATGGTTTAGAACCAATAAGCTTGATGTTTTTGAACCAATAAGCTTGATGTTTTTGAACCAATAAGCTTGATGTTTTTGAACCAATAAGCTTGATGTTTACTCACTGAAATCAGTGATCAATCTACTATTTTCCTGAGTCCTTTTCAAATTGATTTAGAAAACAATGGGTCCCACAATGGAATATTGAAGTATCTCAAGAAATTCTATGAGTGTCATGAAAATTGTATGAGTACAGGATTCAGGACTTGTATGTGGATTGAGTACTGTAAAATTAACAAAAAAATATTAAAAATAAAAACAATTTAAGAGTAATTTCGAAATAAAGAAAATCATTTAGAAAATGATATTAAAGAAAATTGTGTTGAAATAGTTTTAAAGAGAGGAATTTTAGAATAATATTAAAAATTATTTGAAAGAAAATATCAGGTTCACACGAATCAGTAAATAAATTTAAAGATGTTAGGAAATCAATATAGTCATTGGTATAAGTTATCTCTAAAAATAGGAATTAAAAAAACTTCCGTTTGCTAGTCACCATTTGACCAGGAAATAGATGAAGCAACATTGTTTCCTGTTTAACTTGTTGACAAAGATTTCTATTTTGTTATTTTTTTTTTATTTATTTTTGTTAAATATAAAAAAACTATGTGATTATATGTAAATGATTATTGAGAAATATTTGGTGATTGGTTATGATTTTTTATTGTTTTCATATGTGTTTAGATGAGTGGTTGTATGCTTGTGCTGCAGTGAAATGTCCCAACTTCATAAAAGAAATATATTTGTGAACGAGTAATGTGAAAGAATTATCTATCACAGAATGTCCTGCTAAACCAGTTTACCTCAAAATTTCATTAGTTTTATATTGTTGTATTGGGAGGGTTAAAAATGGCTTTCACTCAGTCAGTCAGCCATTTTGTTAAAATCATTCCTCACTGGTATGATCATTATAGTATGGGGACTAACATACTAAAGGGGCATTTTTATATCTAATTTTGCACTTAGCTAGTATGTCACTATAACTAAGTCACTTTTGTTTTATTTAATATGTTGTCAAATACAAATTAGCATATCTCTGTGGATAACACAAAGTGTCCTATACAAATATATTTAGGTCTTGTATTCTGTTTTCAAATAACCTTTGCTGTTGTGAGGACGACTGAGATCTGCTGGATAAACCAATATTTACGGAGTTATGGCCCTTTGCTTATTTATCAGGAATTTTTGTAGGACTTTTTATGAAGAGGTCTGAGTTCTGTACAATTATTGACTTTTTTGAAGTGAATACTATGATGTCTCTACCTGATAATAACGTCGAGTTAACCTCTCAGGATCCTTCTCTGCCAGTAATTGTTTGAATTAAGCCTCATCCATGGAGGCCAACCTGTGTTTAGGCTGCTGTGGATTGTTCGCTATCTCTGGTATTGTTTACGCCTGCCAATAACAGCAACCCGAAGCGCAGAAGAAAGCAGTGTTCTGATTGAACACTCAGTGGTCTAATATTGTAAATCCCCTTGTTACTATGTAAAGACACAACTGAATTGTTAGAGCCAATCAGTAATCAGGAAAATCGCAAGCCATATAATAAAGTAGGTTTTCAAAATTTGAGTGAATCCCACAGAAAAGCACCAATCTAGCTTAAAATCTGAGAGTTGAAATTTCTAACATTAGATTTAGAGCTAGATGTATCAGTTTCAGTATCTATGATATTATTACAGGACAATGAAACAACATTTGATGGTTGTGAAAGAGATATGCTCAGTATCATATGGGTGGGCTTATTACTGGACATGGGCTAGAGATTGATGAAATATAGTACGTGTGTAAATCTGAATGTTTCTGGCCTTAGTAAAAAGAATGATGGGTCTGTATTTATACAAACCACTAACAAATACAGTGAGGAATCCGGATTATGTTACTGATGGTGCATGTGTATGTTTCCAGCAATATATGAAGGTAAACCGGTCGTCCTTCAGAGATATCTCTTTTTCCTACAGTCCAAAGTCAAAGACAGTGATTACACCCGTAAGTCACCATAGGTTTGTCAGGACAGGAGTTAAACAGCGCTTCATCGCAGAACATGGAAATCCAGAACCTTTAATCTAACAAGTTTATATGTGTATTCTATGTTCTTAACCTTACATTATTATTACATGTTTAGATTAACACAGTTTATGTGAGAGGAGTATGCTGGGTGGGGGTTGCACTGCTCTTTTAGTTTCTTAATCAAATTTTTTATTATACTTTTTTATAACTCTTTTGAATCAATATTTTCATTTAAAAAATATATTTTTGAAAAGCG